TTTTTGTTGGTCCAGCGCTTTTCTAAGACACTTGTATTGTTTTCTCCTTTAATTGTCACCTGTCAACTAAAATATGAGGTGATGTTTTTCCCGCTTGTCTGCCACACAAGAGCAGAGGTGCTTGTCTGCAAAGCATTGTTCATACACTCAATTTTTATGGTTAAAAACACAAGGAGGAATATATTTCATGAGGCCTCCACTAATTGGTACTGCTTTTCAAAATCCCTAATAGCTGAATGGCAGCAGCTGTTCTTTGTGACATAATGCTGATGATTATAGTGCTGAAACAGTCAGAGCTTGATTGGGTGGCTAGAAAATGATAGCAGACTGTGGTAGTGCTGTGTGTGATGGACTTGTCACCGAGACAGCACTCAGCTAATAGCAGTGTTCCCCTTGTCCACTGCCCATCATCAAAACAAAGGGCATTGTTACTCAGGCATTGGCCATATCGTCTGGAGATCATGAGGTCAACCCCTGGGGAGTCCAAGATAGCAAACTGCCCTCCCTCTTTCCCAATCACTCAGCACAATGCTAGCCAATACTGGCATTTGTTAGCTGATGTAACAGCATTCAGTTAAGTTGTCTAATAGTAGATGATAGTAGGGGGTATACCGGTTTAAATACAGGTATGATAGAAATAAGCACAGATAACGTGCCGTACAAGCAGTGCAAACTATATTAACATTAGCCTCTTTAGCTGAGTGGCTGAGCCAGGGCTGTTTCAATCACATTTCAATTGAAAATGAAGAAGCAGCAGACCTTCTGCTGTCTAGTCCACTGCATCTGAAGTAGCCCACTTTGTTTTCAAGGTAGCAGCCATAAAGGAATGGATGGTTATTTGAGGTTAGCCTTAGCCTAACATGGACACCAGAGCAATGTCTGTACCACCTTGAGGCCTTTTACGCACAAGAAGCTGTGGACCAGCTGGTACTGAAGTAAGAATGCAATGTTGTCCAAATTACAGCAATGTCTGAAATAGATGATATAAAACACTGGTAGATGCCTCACATTTTCAACAGGAGACAGGTCTAGACTGCAGGCAGGCCAGACTAGCAACCGCACTCTCTGATTATGCAGCCATGCTGTAGCTACATGTGCAGAATGTGGCTTGCCGTTGTCATGTTGAAATAAGCATTGATGTCTCTGAAAAAGACGTCATCTGGAAGGCAGCATATGTTACTCCAAAATGTGTTCACTGTTAATTGTGCCTGCACAGATGTACAGATTACACACTAATACACCCCCCATAACTTGACAGACTCTGGATTTTGCATTTTATGCTGGTAACAATCAAAGCTTGGTCAATTTCTTATCTAGCACCAAGAACATGATGTCCATTTTCTCCATAGACAATCAGAAAGGTTGACTCTTCAGACCACAATACATGTTTGTACTGTGCATTTGTGTATATTGTTGATATATGGCTCCTGTAGTACATAGTGCAGTGTTAACTTGCATTTGTGGATGCAGTGACGAACAGTGTTTTTGCCAGTGGTTTATCAAAGTGTCCAGATTCCCTGAATCTTTTGATGATGTTTCACACTGTAAAGGAGGAAATACCTAAAATCCTTGCAACAGCTTATTGAATGTTGGGCCTCATTCACCAACCATTCTCAAGAAGAAATTTCTTCTTAAAATCCACTTACACAGTTTTCACACACATTCTTATATTCACCAATGTTTATTTATTTGGGATTTATTCTCACGTAGAACAGAATCTACACACACTCAAGAGCAATTCTGCAATTTAAGAACACATCTTAGGACCTTTTGCGAGAACAAATTTAAGAAAAACCTAGAAGATATTGGTGAAAAAACTGTTATTTTTAAACTGTTGGATTATTCTCTGACACAATGTTTGGCAAAGTGGTGAGCCTCGACTCATCCTTGCTCATAGAGGACTAGGCCTTTGCTGGATGCTCCTGCACAGAAGCATGATTGCATCACTTGTTTAAGATGTTTTTTGAACTTTTCAACATTCCTAGTCTTAAAAAGCTTCGTCCCAACTTTTTTGGAATATGTTGCAGGCATCAATTTCAGAATGAGTGTATATTTGTTTAAAAAAATCAATGACATTGATAAGGTAAAACATTAAGTATCTTTGCACTGCTTCAGTTTAACCCCTTAATTGGCCAGGGCCCACCGGCAGGGCTAAAGTTTTATTACTCACATCTACAAGCTAAGAATAGCTCTGCCAGTTTGCATTGAAGTGTCTGTAGTGGGATTTTAAGGGGTTAAATACAGGTCAAAGTGGACTTACAAAGCATATCTTACATACTTTTTTGGGGTTAATTACAAGATCCATCCAGGCAGCCACTTTTAGACTAAGGCTGTAGAGTTTAAATCATATTTTTGGTGTAAAGCTCACATCTCAGATGTAAGGCCTGGGAACACAGAAGAGCCTTGAGAGATAAATGGTTAAATGTATGATTAAACACAGTTCCTTGAAACATCTCTGAGCCCGCTTGTTATCAAAGCATTGGCCCTGATCTTCTCCAGATGGTCATTCAGGGCCGCAGGTGTGAGGAAGCTTCATAGCTTTTATATTCAGTGATGTTAAGGGGAAAGTATGAGCTATTTCTCGCTCACTAGGTCTTCCTTCATCTCTCCTTTATGGCTGGACCATGAAAGAAAAGATTTTGTGCAAAATAGCCATTTCGTAAGGAGACTAAAGAGATAAGATGCTGAATTGAGTCATCTTCAGATGGAGGGAATGATATTTAGCTCATAATCATGCCACTCTCAGTAAAAAGACAAGATAATAAGGGGTATTAAGGTTTTTGGAGCATGCTTGATTAAAATTAATGAGCTTTGGGGCATTCAAGATAAATGTACACAGTGGCACTAAGTGCTGCCTGTTCGAAATGAACAAGCTTGGCACCAAGTCTGTGTAATTCACTGCATAAGCCTTAATTTGCAAAGAGTTTTTTAAGTGTAACATTAGTACAATGAATGAAAATGCTAGTAAAAACCAGAGTAGCCTGAATAACTTTAAGCAGAAGAGCACCCAACACAGCTAGGGGAGCTAATCAGAACAACAGTACTGGGGAAAAGTCAAAGACCACCCTTCATTTATTTAAATAATGGTGAAAACTTCCATGAAGTAGAAATATATATATATATATATATATATATATATATATATATATAGTGAGTTACAAGTTCAGTCTTAGCCGTTGGTTTAGCATTTTCTGCTTCTCACAATCCAAATAACCCCAAACACACTCAGTGGTGTTGAGTCTGGACTCTGGGGTGGTCAGTCCATTGTACAGCTTCTTTGTTTGAGGTGTCCATCTCCTTTTCTCAGTGAGGTTCTTCTTGACAGCTACACATCCTTTCAGACCCACAGCGCTGAGTCGTCTTTGCACAGTGGAAGGATGGACAGAAACACCTGTGGATGTTTTCAGATCTGAAGCAGCTTGATTTTTCTCAGAGATGAAAGCTTTAAGTGCTGTTTATCTGATGTTTTGGTGTCTACCAGTCTTCCAGGTGGTTGCTAGGAGTCCCATTTTCTCTGTAGCTGTTAATTATTTTCTGAGCTCCAGTTTTGTAAACACCTTTTATTCACTTTGACTTTCTCTTTTCTTTGTATCTTATATCTATTATCCTCTCAAAAATCTCTCCTACTTGAAATCGAATACATTATTAACTTATTTTACATCATATTAAATCTTTTAGCTTCACTTTGAAAGAAATGAAAAAGATCTTCAAAATACATTGGAGCAAATGCAAAAAATGGAAGTATTATTTTCACAAGTTGATATTTTGTTGTTAAGGTTTGGGACAAACACCTCCCAGTAGAAAGAACCCTATAGGTGATGATTTTGTATGTCGCTGCTGTCGGAAGAAAACCTTGTATCTCCATTTTTGTTGTTTTTCAGTTTTTGACACAATTTGAAAATGCTTGTTGCTCTTTATATTGTATGTAAATTTCACAAAGAATGGACCAAAATAAACGGCCCAAAGTCTGGTTCCACTGACTTACATTAAAAGTAAAGTATGTTTTTTCCTTCTCCTGAAAAGTTACCATTTTGGAGATATGAGGTTTTGTTCCAACAGCAGCAACATATTTACATTCTCAGAAATAAAGGTATGACTCTGCCACTGGGCCAGTCCCCCTCTTGTCACTGGGGTGGGACCCTCAAGGGTACATCTCAGTACCTTTAGTCAGGGAACATAACTGTAATATAATCCATTGAAATTATATTTTCTAAGCTGTACTGACTCCACACACCCCGTCTCGTCTCCAGACTTTTTATTTTATTGTTCTGTTTTAAAACATTAGGTGATGAAAAGGTACAAAAACACATCTTTCCCCTGGGGAAAAAAAGCTTTAAGATACACAACTGAACCTTAAAACCACTTTGATGAATGGAAAATGTACCTGCACAGAACCTTTATTTCTACCAGTGTAGGTTATTACTATCTCAATTAGTACACTGTTTAAATAGATCATAACAGAGTCTTTGTAAATATCTACGGTCTGAATACTGAATTGTTTTTATAAACAGTTTTGACTGTGTGACCACAGCTTCAGTAGAATGGTCAATATAGATGTCATGTAGCCTCAGACGTTGTTTTTTCAGAGATGGGACTAGTTTTGTAGTGGGTACAATTTGTAGTAATACCTATAAAGCAAAAGTAACTGGAACTATTTTTACAGTTGTATTAGAAAGTCATATATATATATATATATATATATATATATATATATACACACATACATATATAAGAACAGCCTTTGTCATGCATGTATTGTTCAATAGCTCAATGCATGCACGTGGTTCAATAGCTTTTCATTTCTTTTGTAAGTACAGGGAAATAAATGAGAATCACTGTCCATGGTAACTGACCGTATGACGCGGATGTGGCAGATTGAGGTTAGATTGTAAAATGCTAGAGTCGTCCTTGAAGTTTTTGCCTTCATTTCAGAAAGGCTCCACCATTCTTGCTTTACTAGAATAAAGAGCCTTTCTCTTGTCTTCTTTGTGTGTTTGTAGGCGCCTGCACTGCACACGGAACTACATCCACATGCACTTGTTCGTGTCCTTCATGCTGAGAGCTGTTAGCATCTTCGTGAAGGACAGGGTGGTGCACACCAGCGCCGGCCTTCAGGAGTTTGACGCCGTGCTGATGAATAACTTCACTAATGCGGTGGACGTGGCACCAGTGGACACTTCGCAGTATGTGAGTAACAGAGTACCTCAATATGTTTTCCCTTGTGATGGTTATTTTTAATGAATTCTTCAACTTATCTATGCTGTATTTCCGAAAGTAAATGTCTGCTCATCCAAGGGTAGTTTTGCCACAGGTTGTTACTGTGCCTTTAAGACTCTGTTCTGATTGGTTACCATGTATTGTACTTCAGTTAATAAGCAGCCTGGGATGAAACACTCCTTATAACTTCAGTATGAGTAGGCGGGGCTAAACTGCAGTAGGCTGAATGGGCGGGTATACGTAAATATGGGAATTGGACTTTATAGCACTTCTATATGCGCTGGTTTCAATTTCATTCAAATTGTTCAAAAAATCTGAATCTATATTAATTATCACATTATCACTTATTATCCAGAATCATGTAGCTGTCTGTGCTAAATAATGCTATTAGCCACAATGTTCCACTCAGTGAGACAAAGTTAATCACAGCCAAAACAAATGGACATGGATTCCATACTGTGATTTTGTGTGTTTTGTTTTGTTTACGCGATGCTGTATACAATAAATCATGCCCATCAGTCATTTCTCTCACATTTCTGTTGACTCAGTGGAATGACAGCTGATGAATAAACAGCTAATGCTACAAATATAACTACCTATTACAGTGGTAGCTCCTCCAATGTTGTTCTTGGAGACTGCAGTGAAGGGTAAGCATTCTTCCTTGGACTCAATGACCTGATTCATGTCATATATTATCAAACCAATACACTGGTCATCAGTCCAGTTTTACAGTTTTTGGTACCTGCTCAATATTGATACCAACAAGACCTAATTGCAGAGATGGGGTCAGCATGCATCAACTCCGACTCGACAATTTTGGCATTGTTAGATGTCATATCTGGAGTGTTTCTTATGTCCTGACTCGGACAACTGTTATACTACCAGAATACGGAGTCACAATATTTTTCCGATATGACTAATGCCATATTTTGAATGCCACACACATTGCATTTGTGGTGGCAGCATATATCACAAAATGCTTTCTGAAGTGTCTCGTCTCATATATGTTAATATGCAGAAATATGTGTGGCCGGAAACTTGGGCCCAGTCCCATTTCTTATTTTTACCCCTACCCCTTGTTTTTGAGTGTCACCTTGCCTCTTGGAACTGAGTTACAAGGGGTAGTGGTTGAAATCTTCCCCTATGAAATGGGACCCTCAAATAAAAAGAGCTACTTCATTAACAGCTACTAGCGCTGCTCTGTAGGCGACCCTGCCAGTCTGCAGTGACAGCAGAGGAGGGTAAAGTTCAGCTCCTCACTGCTGGGCTTTAGTTAAGTTTAGGGAATCATATGCCTTCAAAGTGGGGGGCAATTATTTATTATCACCCACCCCTAATTCTTCAGTGATATGAAGCTGAAGTCAGCTACACACCAGATTCTTGTTTGAATTTTCCCATTCCACCTTAAATGGTGCAGCGGTTCTGAAGCCTGAGGGGTCAGAATGTAACCACTGCACCAATTAAGGTTGAGCAGGAAATTTAGCTAACTAGTTTTTGTGGGTTTCTTTGGTCGCTTGCGCAGCCGTCTCCCGGTTTGTCTTTTTTTCTCATAACACTCTGTTTGGAGTGTGACTTTGAAAAACCTCCATTTGGAGGGCCATGTAGCCCTAACACTTTGCCCTGCCCCTCTATCTCAACAAAAATTGGGACACCCTACTTCTAGGCGTGAACACACAAAATGGAGGGGGTAAGGGCTAAGTGGTTGGGGTGAGGGGTGAAAGGGGATTGGGCCTTAAAGATATGATTAATCGCCTTAAGTCTGATATTCAAAGACATGCTTCAAATTTGATCAGAACAACTGTGGAAACTCATCATATCGATCATATCAATCTCCAGATTGGGAGAATATCATTGGGAGGATTGGGAGACTATCAGAATATGGAGTTCAGATATTTTTTTGGATTTGACTGATGCCATAATTTGATTGCCACATACATCACATCTCTGGCATCAACATAATACATAATATTAGCAACATGTCTCACCTCATATATGTTAATATATATCCCTGTTGTCGGAAGAAAACCTCGTATCTCCAAAATGGTAACTTTACAGGAGAAGGAAAAAACCTACTTTACTTTTAATGTAAGTCAGTGCAACCAGACTTTTTGCCAAGTCATTTTGATCCATTTCTTTTGGTCCATTCTTAATGAAATTTACACACAATGTAAAGGGCAACATACATTTTCAAAATATGTCAAAAACTGAAAAACGGCAAAAATGGAGATATGAGGTTTTCCTCCGACAGCAGCGATATATATATGTATGGTATCTGTGGCTGGTAATTTTTAAAAAATATGAGTAATAGCCATGTTTTAGATATTGAGGATATGAATCAGTATGAATCTTTGGGTTACATCGATTAGATGTAGCCAAACATTCACATTCATTCAGACATAGGATAACAGAGAATACTGATCCAGCCAATCAGGAACTTCTGAAGAACTTAATTAGTGGTGGCAGATTGTGGTTGGAGACCCCTGCTTTAGGCACATACGCATTAAATGTTAATTACTGTTATTATGACGGTTCCAGCTGTCTCTTAAGCAGATGGAGAATGAGCTAGAACTAGAACTGTGAGTTCTGTTCTTTCCCATTTGGGGCAGGTCTTGTTTTTGAACATCCAAATTGAATGCAAATTATTTAGAGTCTGATTCTGATTCAAAATGTGAAGTGCTGTACGTTTGGTGTTACTGAGTGTTCTCCAAATATGAGATTTGAGATTTGAGTGTCTTTTTAATCAACAACAACTTTAAACTTCCCCCTGGAACAATGGACTACTTGTTTACGTAATTCTGTCCATTGGTATTCATATCTGAAACTCCTGCTTGCATTAGCGTTAGCCTCAGAGAGACCTCAGTGCGGAAATGAGGCACCACTGATTGCTAACAACCCCCAAAAAAGGTCCAGGTTAAAAGGGGGTCAAAGGCTTGAAATAAAGGGTGACTTGGTTTGGATTTTGATTGTGGCAGAAAAAACATTAAATATTCCACTGTTTATTCAAGGTCGTGCTCTGTCGGCGCAGTTTGCCAGGAACGCAGAGGAAAAATGGCCCGAGGGAACGGTCAGAGGCAGATGTTGTAAACAGAGCTCAAAGACAGAGAGCACTTGATTACAGAGAGTCGCAAATGCTTGCTCTTTCCGCAGAGGGTGACGCGTTCAAGTCCACTACAGCCAGAGGGTCCCTCTTAAGTACAAGAGATACTCCCCCTGCAAGAGCTTGCAGGCACTGTGTGCCTTGTTTCTTTCCTTTCTCACTGTTTTTATACTAACCACCCACAGCTCTGGCTGGGGCTGCTATCCAAGCTAAAAAAAAACACTGTCCCTGGTGCCATTTGGGTGGGATTATTTTTGATTCTACATTGCAGCCCACACTGAGACTTCTGCTGTAACCGTGTCCACTTCAGCCAATAAGAGAAGAGCACAGTCTGCATGCCCAGACCCACAGCTTTAGTCCCCCTTTATCAGCTGCCTAGGAATGGCTAAGAGTCATGCCAATGTATGGGTGGATAGGCTTTGGAGACCACTTGCTTTATGCTATTGCCTTAAGCAGGAGGCTTAGGTTCAACGCAATCAGCCTGCAACACTGCAGGAGTCTGCCTTCTCGAATTAGCCACTGAATTCTGTTTCACTGTCATAGGCACAGTTGTCGTCAACTGACATTTTAAAGACCCCCTGCATTAAAAACATGGTTTGCAGATTGTTAGCTCTTCTTTGATGCCTTATGATGATTATATAGATTAGTATTTATGTCAAATGTGTCAGCACAAAGTCTTCTTCAGTATTTACAGAAAGCAATGAGGTGCTGTCCCAGATAGAGAGCATATATCGGTCTGCCGGCTTGATAAGGAGGCAGCACGGTGGCACAGTGGGTAGCGCTGTCACCTCACAGCAAGAAGGGCCTGGGTTTGATTCCCAGCCGGGTGACCAGGGTCGTTTCTGTGTGGAGTTTGCCTGTTCTCCCCGTGCCTGCGTGGGTTTCCTCCGGGTACTCCGGTTTCCTCCCACAGTCCAAAAACATGCAGTCCGGCTGATCGCACATGCTAAATTGCCCCTAGGTGTGAATGTGTGATTGTGTATGTCTGTCTGCCCTGTGATGGACTGGTGACCTGTCCAGGGTGTATCCTGCCTTCCGCCCAATGACAGCTGGGGTAGGCTCCAGCACCCCACTGCGACCCAGAAGGATAAGCGGTTTAGATGATGGATGGATTGCTTGATAAGGTCAGCACCTCACTGACCGTTTGCCATTGTTGGTCCGATCTCGGACCACCCAGATTACTGTCCTGCATACAAGCTTTGACTAGTTTTTAATCTCCTCAAACAGATTTTAAATGCACAGAGACTTTTATAGATAAGGATTAGTTACTAAACTAATTTACAAGGTATAACTTAAGAAAGAAAGGAAAAATCAGAAAATTGGCAAGAGTGGAAAATAAGCGATGATAAGTAGAATTTTGTCTAATACTCCGCTTAACCGCCAGTGGGCCGGCCAGATAACGCTGAGCAAAACGCCAGTGGAACTAGCGAGGCGACAGTGGTCCACTATCCTCTTGCTATCAGGGATGTGACGATGGGAAAACTATAGCTACAGAAGATGCCTGCGCTTAGCTAACATTTAGCTAAGCTACCACATAGCTAACGTTTGAGATGTTTGTAGTGTAGTTAGCCTTTAGCTAAAAAGATATGTTGGTATTTACGTTTGTGACTATGTCAAATTTATGTTCCACATCTATTTAAGAAACTCAAATATGCTGTAGAGCTGGCCTGTTAGCAGGAAGCAGTAGCTTAGCATGCTACAGCTTTACTGAATCATACGTGTTGATGCATTGATGCAGGTTTAAGAGTTAAGACCCCAAATCTATGTTTTTGTGTATGCACTTGTTAGCTAAGCTACTCTTGCTCTACTTTTCCATTGTTGTCAGCACCAGAGGTTAGCATAGCTTAATGAACATACTAAAACAGAAAAAAAT